TTTTTTTCTTCAATAAGATTAGTTCATATATATATATATCGATATATGTAATCACCGAAAAAACGATTTCAAAAGACACCGATCGTGGTGTGATAAGAAAATGAGAATTAAAAGATATCGTTTACTTACTAGTGTACAATAGTTAAAGATGATTGACCGTGTCTAAAGCACGTATATGTCTTTCTCTCTCTCTTATTTAATGGCGTCGTCGTCGTCGAACTATATTGTCTTGTGTAAGATGTGCAAAATCGTTTGTCGTCTCATCTTTTACTAACAAAGTCGTCGATAAGAAAAAGTTCTTGATTCACATAACTAATCCCGTTTGGTAAGGGTGACAATTGATAAGACAATTGTAAATACTAAAATAAAGATGAACTCGAATAGAATAGAATAGAATAGAGATGATGGAATAGTTCAATTACTATTGACAATACAAAGACAATAAAGAATTTTAATGATTTAGAAAGATTATTTATTTTAATCTTATTGAATGAAGAAAAGAAGAAAAAGATCAATTAATATTTGATAAAAATCAAATTAATTTCTCATATATCATAAAAACATTAATATTATAATTTTTCTACAATACAAGGTCAGTCAGTCGTCGTTATCGTTAAATATTCTCTGATAAACACATCATTTCATCAATAGTTGTGTCATTGTTTCAAATTTTGATTTCAAATGTCAACTTGAATATTTCATATAAAAACCATAAGTGACATATGTCTTTAGTCAAATATGAACTATTTACAAAGATTCAATCAACTGTTCTAATCGAATCTGACAATAGACTCATTGATTGAATAATATCGTAAAACGAAAGAACATATATTTGACATATAAAAGAAATATTCTCATGATTAATGGTAATAATCGATATCATTTAGTAGAGATTAGAAAAATCTGTAGACAAATTCTATCGATTAGTTTTTTTTCGAGTAAAAAAAAGTAAATGTCTGAAATGATTGTTATTTTTATTTAAAAAAAAGGAGAAAAGAAAAGTAAATCATGTTGTTTTTCTTTAAAATCAAAAAAGCAATCAAAATTTCAATTTCATATATTTTTTCAATTAATTTAACATCAAAGTATGCATCATTTTGCATATTTATTACACCTAGAAATATGTCTACATTGTCTATTCATTAGTAATATTATTTGTACACGTTAGTTCATCATTCTATAATGAAAAATTTCTATCAATAAAATGGCTGTAAGGCATGATTTTTTTTTGAAGTAATAATGTTTGACTTATAAGAGTTAACAGATCTTCAGTTTATGGCTTTAACACATTTTTAAAAATACAAAATGTAAGGGTTCTTGTAGTTTTATAATATTTTTTTAACGAGAAAAATTCTTATATCTATTATTCTCATTTATTTTTATTTATCGACGGCATAAAATTGAAATTTTAATTGATTTTAGTTTTTGCTCAAATGATCTTTCAAATTATTCAATAATGTTTCATATAATTTAGGGTGACAATTTTTTTTATTTTGATCACTAAAAACAGATACTTTACTTCATCAAACACTTTTCAATATTCATATAAAAAAGTTCATAATTGGATAAAACCGATTCAATGTTGATATTTTTCCTAATGAATATTCTCAAGTTATGTATATAAATGTATGCATCGTCTAGTGATCTAACGAAACAAATCATTATGTATATATAATTTACATAATGAAAAGTAAGTGATGCTGAATAAACAATTCCTTTTTCATGATCATTTCTATCTAAAAAAGTATGATGATCAGAACATATTTTTTTCCTATAATTTTTTTATAAAACATGTTAATAAAGAAATATTATTTTCTTTGACTTTGGAAAAAGATGACGCAAGTATAAGATGTTATCACACTATGTATTTAAATGAATAAATCTTTAATAGATATTATTTGTAAGCAATGAACCGAACGCATGATTTCCTTTACGCGGATTTACTTTTCATTAACTTTTTGTCAAAAAATATTATTTTTATTACCGAGGATTTACTGTCTGTTGATTATTTGGACTATACGAAACGAGTAATGCGTATTCATTGAAACAGTGGATGCAATGAAGGAATGATTTTCAATTTCAAAAATATGACACGACTTGGAAGCTCTAATTCCGAAACGTTGAAAAAATCAATGTTAAAGCTGATGATTGTAGTAACGTTACGATAAATTTCGTACTAACATTGCAAGATTCTTGAAAGCTGCTGAACTCAGATATTTTCAATGTCCATCAAAAAAATAAACAACTATCTCTCTTTGTTCTTCTGTTATGACTATACTCATTACTCATTTCGTAGGATCTGAATAATCAATGGAAAGTAAATCGTGTATTCCCTTGAAGTTATATGCATTTACAACATCAAATGACATATAATTCTAAATTTAAACAGATAATCTGAATATAAATTTTTTTTATATTATTATTTAATTTTAATCGATCTAAGATATATAGAAAATATTATATCCTCAATCATTGTTGATTGATGAATACTAGAAAAATAAATTGCAATTATTTCTAACAGTAATGATAGAAATAGTTCTTTCATTGAATAAAATAAGATTTGTGACTTAGGAAAAATATTGATTTAATTTCTTAGTTTTTGTAAGTAAAATTCAACTGAATGATAAAAATGATAACTTCGAAAAAACAATATTTATATTTTTAGTGTATTATAGAAACAAAACGATGATATGGGAAGAATTATTGTTTTAATTTCTTCTATGAAATAATTTAATAGTACTTTGTATATCTAAAGAACAATTTATAATTATCTCATTAAATTTTTTAGAAAATAAAAAAATCGTGAAGGAATCATGTTAGAAGTTATTATGAAAATGGACAACAAAAAGTTTGATTTTCATTAGATCGTGACTAACAAATATTTTATTGAAATAATGATTTATATTATTCAAGATCATAAGAATATCGTGAACTTTCATAGATGAAAAGATTGAAATTTACATTTGAATAGGTCACTGTACCACATGTGTTGTCATTATATTCTTGTTTAATGTATTTCATACTCTTATATAATTTTTCATGTAAAAGAAGAAAAAAAAAAGTTTATTCGTCAATGTAATTACATACTTATCGTTTATATCTTATTGAAATAAGGTGTTGGCATTTTATAAATTATCCTTGACAATTTTATATAATCAATTTCATTGCCATGTTTTACTTTTTTCTATACTAATTCTAACAATAATGTGAATAGGTTAATGTCGAATTTTGAAATATTAAAAACTGAGAGTTAAATAAGAACACGATATAAATAAATAAAAAGTTTTGAAATGGAAATATTTAGATATTCTTTTTGAAATATTCAATTGCATCTTGTTTAGCTTTTTCACTTTGTTCATTGGATTGTTGAGAACCATCTGGTCGGGTAACAAAACCATGAACAGTACCAGGATATTTAATAAATGTTCCAAAACCAGTTGTAGTTAATTCTTTTTTATAATATTCTTCCAGTTCAGGTGAAAATGTATGATCGGTTTCTGCACATAAAAAGAGAGTTGGTCGTTTTATTTGTGTAGCTTCTTCTTTAGTTAAAAACGCTGGATGTGCTACAATAGCTGCTTTTATTGTTGATGTTAATTCTTCATGAGTTATTAAATAAACTGCTATTTTAGCACCATAGCAAAAACCAATTACCTAAAATAAAAAGAATAAGTTGTGTCTTTGCAAAAAAATGTGTTCAAATGTAACTTGAATTGATTCATAATGTCCTTTAATAGTTGAAATGAATTTTCCTGCAACTGGACACGCTTCAGCTGGAGAATGCTTTTTTATCCAGTCAGGTAATAAAGCTCGAAAATTGGGTATATTGTCATCTATTGAATCGCCATTGAAAAGATCCGGAATAAGAACTGTCGTACCCGTTTCGTTAGCAAAACAATCAGCTACTTTTCGAACATTAGCAAAAGCATAACCAAAAATATCAGTAAATATTACAATAGCTGATTTTCCTTGGCCTGTTTTGTATGTATTTAAATTTGCTATTTCTACTTCTTGACCTTCTGATACATGTGTTTGTTTTGCACCAGGTTCGATACAACACGGACTTGCCATTATAATAAATTAAATAATCTAGAATACAAACTTATCATATACAACTGCTATGAAATATAACACATCGATTATAAAGTGTCGTACATATAAAAGAAATAAGCAAACATTATATTTCGTTTAATATCTTATCATTTCTTTTTTTTCGTTATTATCTACCAGTAGCTTTTCGAAAGCGTCTAGATGACGCTCGACATTCATGTACAGTGTATTACTATTTCAATTATTTTATACTAATTATAATATCTGGTTGTGTCAGTACATTGTGATAGTGGGGGTGGGCTTCATGCTGTGAATAATATTAGAAAGAGATCCGTATAATATGCAAAGAAATCAAATTGATATTTAAAAATATAAAAATAATATGCAAAGTTATGGATGAAAAACAAAACTATTAAGACTAACATAATAAATTTATTTATATATTTTTTTTGTTTTTGTGAAATTATTTTATTATTTAATAAATAAGTAGAAATAAATAAATAAAGAGAATTTATGACAAAGATTTTCATCATACATTAACAATTGATTTTAGTTAATTATTTTGAAATAATTAATATAGTATTTAAACTAATTTGATAATTGGGTTGTATCCATTGAATTTTGAAACAATTATTTAATTCTTTATTTTGTATAGTTAATATTTTTTTATATTGATTTGTTTGTTTTGAATCATTACTTAAAATATATCCTTCAGCACGAAAATAAACTTTTTCAATTTTATTCCAAATTGGATACCAATAAAAGATTAAATTTCGAAAAAAATCTTCATTAAAAAATCGACATTTAATATTCAAATGAAGACGTTGTAGATTATGTATTTTTGTTTGTAATTGTTTTAAAAAAATACATAAAATATGTTCAGATCCTTGAAATTTAATAGTTCGAAGTTGTACAAGATTGAATATGATATCATTAAATTTTCTATTCAAACTAATACATAAATCATGATTACTTGAAATATCCAATTGTTTTAATTTTGACATACTAGCCAATAAACAATTTACCAATCGATAATCAATTACATATAAAAAATGAATATAAAATATTTCAATATTACTGTTTACATGTAAAGGATTTATAATATTCCATAAGAATTCTTTGATATGTAATTGAAATATACGAAGAGTAGATATACTAAGTATATTTTTTAATAAAGTTGCTTGAATATTACATGTTATCGATAAATATTCCAACGAAGGAAGTTTACGAAGAATTCGATAAATAATATTTGTTTGTTGAGAATTTATTGTAATTGTTAATGATTGTAATCGAATGAATTTTTGAGCATTTTGACGAAGATATTCAGGAATATATCCACATTTATTTTGACTTGTTGATTGTAGACAAGTAATGCGATTTACTATTCGATTAAACCAACGAGGAGTAGGAGTATATGGAGTATAACGATAGTTAAGGGTGTAGGTGTGACGAGTATGGGCATATAGGTTGCATTTGTAATCCACATCCTCAAAAGAGCATATTAAGTAAGTCGAAGGATAATGGAATTCTTTTTGTGCGAGGTTGCACTACTCTTGCAACAATGTATTTTAACCAATGTGGTGTTACCGTTAGTGAAATATTACTCGAGCATATTTTAGCAAAAGAGAGCAAGAAAAGATACTTAGTTCAAAACATAACAACGATACAATTGAATTCATCAAAAAGCTACCGATAGACAAAATTCAATAAGAGCTATGTTCGACGTAAGCGATTATAATTCTGGTAGTTTTAATTTGTAACACTCTTGTTTTTCGAAACTCAAATAGAATATGATTCTGCGCTCTAACAAATTTTGATCGTTACATAGAGTTCTGTATATTATTCATTAGTCAAATGTCTCTCTAAGAATAAGAACTATGTTTAGTCAATACACTAATATTTTACACAGAGTAATTTATTTTGAACCTAATTTGACAATCCTGATATCCATAATACTCCTTGCCATAATCATGTAAATTCATTTTCTTATATTCAACATTTTTCATTTTTTTCTGAGATATTAAAGTATTACTATTGAAAAAACACAGAAAATATTACTTATTGTCGCAGACTATTTTTAATTGTAGAAGGGTGTGGATGTGGATCAGTGATGAATAGAGAGAATATACTCGTCCACATATACCCACACCCACCCACATCAACGATGATTTTTTGTATCATCAAAACTGGAAACGATCAACCATAAGCGTAATATAAATTGTAACCATATCAAGTTATGCTAGTTTTCTGCTATGAAAAATAATGGTTTGTGAACTATTCAAGATTGATTACATCTTGAAGAGATATATATTTAAAACATTTTATGCTAGTATTTATGTGCTAGATATTCATAAAAATACATTGTTTTCAAAGTCAACGTAGTGCAACAGCTATTTTTTTACAGCAAGTTCGTACAGAACACTGCTCAGCCGATGGTCAGATTCCTGCAACGAAGATTGCCTCCAATTGAGACACTGCCACTAACTATAACGTCGATAGCATCACCATTTACGCTACCGTTAAGCTTTGATCCATTGTACAGCCGTATAGTACCATATCCAGTGATAGTTCCCTGCATAGTACCGTACACGTGGAACGTGTTGCCATTTAACACCACGTTATTGGAGTATGTTTGACCGGCAGGTACTGTTGACGCAGCAGCGGCTATTTGATCCAAATGAAAAGCGTTTATAAATTTTGGTAGATTTAATCTTCTAGTATTCTCAAATCTCAGAAATATCCCGTTGAGATCTGAACAAACAAAATGCTGTGAGGTTTTCATAATATATATGATCTTATTGCTCTCATTTAATGAATTATCTATATAAAAAATGAGAACATATACTTAAACTACTTTTACTAAGGACTATTCATCGAAGGAAACTTTGCTTTTTCATTTCAATACAAATGCTGAAATATAACGATGTGAAGTACTCGGAGATGCTGAATAATCTGGTCTGACAATTACTTAGTTTATCATGATATATAATAAAAATTAATGATCAACATAATTTGAGCATTTCTAATTACAGTCATTTCTTTGAAAAGATCTTCTCAGCTGCTGCATGACTCAACAACTATTTAAGTTCGCAGCCTGTTACTTTAACAATCATTAGCGAATTTACAACTTTACAGTTTTATTGACACAATGCTTAAAAATATCTACTTATTACAGTTAACGGAAGCAAACGAACGCTCAAATTGAAAAGTGTTTCATTAACATTAATTAGCTTATTACTATTTAGTTCCGATCAATATATTTTTGTCTTCTATCATCCTGATATGAAGGATTGTTTAAGTCCAATGGACATTTTTATTGTCAATGATATTATCCTTATTGACAGATTGACTCATAATAAACTGATACATACTGCGTAATCTTTGTAATTCTGCTTCTTGTTGTGCACGTTCTATTGCTCTACGATTCGCTTCTGCAGCACGTTGTGCTTCTTGTTGTCGTTGTTTGTCTTGCAGTTCTTGTGCTCTTCTTTGTTGTTCAGCGATTTGTTGTGCCACAATGCGTTTCTGGGCTTCCACTTGCTGTCTGTGTTTCTCTCGCTCGGCTTCCAGTTTGGCTTGCTGAATTTGAATTTCATTTTCACTTTTTTTCAGTTCACTAACGATTGTTTGAATGTCTTGTTTCTTGTGATGTATCTTTGGTGCAAATTTTGTCACGATCTAAAATTTAAGACAAAAGTAGTAATATATAATTCATATATCGGGTCAAATATTCAAGAATGATTTGTTCAAAGTTAAAATAAATAATAATGATGCTAATTTTACGTATATACGCTAGTCTTAATTGAACTGATAATAGTATTATCAAAATTCATATCAAACTGCTTTCATGTTTCAAAAAAACTGTGCTATTGACTAAAAAATTATTCTAGGATTTAAAAGCTATTTCTTTTCAGTTTCAGCGTCAACGGAAATAATTACCCGTACAGTATTAACACAAATGGTGCTGAAAATTTTAATACTAACTGCTCGTGTTTTGTTTGCAAGAATCAGGTATCAGATTTATTTAAAAATATTTCACGTAGTCAGAATTAACTAGAAAAGCTCTAAAGCAAAATAATGATAATCTATCAGAAATTGTTTTTCCTGTTTGTATCTACTGAATATTTTAGAACTAGCATCGCAAGTTGCATAGAATGGTTATCTTCTATCAGCCTCATTATCATAATAACTTACGGGCAACAGTCGATTTTTCAATATTCGTTTTTCCCCAGTATCATTTACATTGATAAAGTCTGTAAAACATAAATTATTATTGGTGACGTTCACACTTCTGAGAAGGTTTTGAAGTAGAGTCACGGTTGTTTCTTCATAATCATCTGGACGACTTTTAGGAATACCATTCACGACAAGTATAAGTGATTCAGGCCGAAATGAATAGGCTGCATTGATGGCATCAAAAGCTACAATATCTTGTCCACGAATTCGCCCATTCTGTTGACCAAATACGAATATGATAATCGAATTGGGTCGATGTGTAAACGCTTTGTCAATTTCTTGTTTGTTCAAATCGATACGTTCCTGTTTGGCTTCAATCAAGCCAGGAATGTCAAAAATAGTGAAAGTATGAGAACCAATTGTGACGTCGGCCGACTCTGTGGTATGTGTCACCGACGTGGCCTTGAATTGGTGACCAAAAATATCACCCTCAGTGATTACGTTGGCCAAAAAACTTTTACCAACACCCGAATTACCCAAAATAATAAGGCCATATTGAGTAGCGCTTGCCATGGTGTTGTAGTTGATACCGTTGAAGATGTATTCAGTTGTTGGATAAATATTTACTGGAGAGCACAGTAAAACAAGCAACCGTCTTATATGTGATATTGCTTTGAGGTATTTTACAAGTGATAAGAATCCAAAGATGTGAAATATCAGGCGTCATTGATAAGGTGTGAAAAAAAACACAGTATGTTGGTATTTTAAAATGTTGATAAGAGTGAGTCAGATTGGACGACTCTTTTCCACCTAAAGATGTGCTTTGTAACTAAAAAGTCTTTCAACATTATGAGATAGTTTATAATTTAAGTGTATATATTTACATTCAGACACATAATTCTGAAGTTGTGCTTCACTAACTAGAGTCGAATACTTCTTTTTGATAAAATGAGACTCTTGTGCTTAAAAATAAGAGTATGATGTTTTCATCGACAAGTTTAGCTAATAGTTCGTGTGAAACACATCGAAAATAATATAGTTGATTATAATACTATTTAAACCATGATATGCGAATAAAACTTTTGATATCGGATATCTTATTCCCAATAGATCGATTGGTCTCTCCGACTCGTTTTATCAATAGTTTTATATAATTGAGCTTCCAAGTATGTACGACTTTTCAAAATTCAGATATGAACTCGTCTATAGCTATTTTCCTCCAATGAAAAGTATCAACCAGAAAATCGTTTTCTAATTCTAAGGGTCTAAATATGGTTGTTGGCGGTTGTAGGTGTGAGATGGGTAAGTCGGTCTATGTAA